ATTAAAAATCACGCCCCGAGGGCCAACTCACCCTTATTATGAAACGCAGGGGCCTCTGTAACTCAGATCCGTTCCCCTTTTCCTGGAATTTTAATTATTGCGTGAATGGTGAATTTTTTTTGGAAATTTTCCAAGTGCCATTTAGTCAAAAAGTGAAAAAAATTAAAAATCACGCCCCGAGGGCCAACTCACGCTTATTATGAACCGCGGGGGCCTCCGTAACTCAGCTCCGTCCACCTTTACCTGGAATTTTCATTATTGCGTGAATGGTGAATTTTTTTTGGTAATTTTCCAAGTGCTTTTTGGTCAAAAAGTGAAAAAAATTAAAAATCATGCCCCGAGGGCCAACTCACGCTTATCATGAATCGCGGATCGCTTCGTAACTCAGATCCGTCCACTTTTACCTGGAATTTTCATTCTTGCGTGAATGGTGAATTTTTTTTGGTAATTTTCCAAGTGCCATTTGGTCAAAAAGTGAAAAAAATTAAAAATCATGCCCCGAGGGCTAGTTCACGCTTATTATGAATCGCGGGGGCCTCCGTAACTCAGATCCATTCACCTTTCCCTGGAATTTTCATTATTACGTGAATGGTGAATTTTTTTTGGAAATTTTCCAAGTGCCATTTGGTAAAAAAGTGAAAAAAATTCAAAATCACGCCCCGAGGGGTAGTTCACACTTATTATGAATCGCGGGGGGCTCCGTAACTCAGATCCGTTCACCTTTTCCTGGAATTTTCATTATTGCGTGAATGGTGAATTTTTTTTGGAAATTTTCCAAGTACCATTTGGTAAAAAAGTGAAAAAAATTCAAAATCACGCCCCGAGGGGTAGTTCACACTTATTATGAATCGCGGGGGGCTCCGTAACTCAGATCCATTCACCTTTTCCTGGAATTTTCATTATTGCGAGAATGGTGAATTTTTTTTTGAAATTTTCCAAGTGCCATTTGGTCAAAAAGTGAAAAAATTAAAAATCACGCCCTTTTTGGCGATGTTTTGCACTGATAAATGGCTTCAACAAAGGCGGCATTGTTGGTCGACGTATTAGCGACTTTTTGGCGATGTTTTGCACTGATAAATGGCTTCAACAAATGAGGCATTTTTGGTCGACGTAATAGCGACATTTTGGCGATGTTTTTAAAGTAACGAGTGACACGAGATGGGAGGTGGAGATTTTAGTTTGACCTGATGGTGACATTTGGCGATGTTTTTTAAATAATTAATTACTTAAGCGGGGTGGTGGTGATTTTTGGTCGACGTAATAGTGACTTTTTGGCGATATTTATCACTAATTATTGGCTTCAACAAAGCAAGCATTTTTGTTCGATGTAATAGTGATTTTTTTGTGATGATGTACTGGGCCGTTCTTAATTTTTACATATACTACTGCCATCTCTTGGTCTTTAACAGCAAATAATTGAGTCGATAAAGAATACTGCGATCAAATAACAGTAACGCCTCACCATCTACAATTTACTGTTGTGGCCAGTTGATGATATTTAAAAACCTGTGGCCAATTGCCGTGTGGTCAGTTGACTGTGTTCAGTTGCACCCATCTCGGCAGACACTCCAGAATTGTGGCGTGTGGCGCCCTCCTTTTTTTGGGGTGCAGTACTACGATGCTCTTGGGGTCACTCAAACCCCCCGAACTGAGCCTCTACTTTAGTCAATCCTCTTTGACTCCTCCCCTGTGATTGTCACGGCGGAAGTGTGTTCCACGAAATACATAAAAATCATAACTGTATGGCTATTAAATTTGAACACAATAACAAATATTTCATTAAAGTATGAACACACCTCCAGAATTGGCCACGGTCTATCAAGCCGTCTATTCGTTATACAATAATCCGGACCCAACGGAGAAGGAAAAAGCGTCATTGTGGCTAGGAGAATTACAAAAATCTGTAAGTAAAACGACTTTATATGCACATTATCAACAGTTTAATGACATAAATAAGTGTATTTTATTGCTGAAATGAACTTAGTTTCCGTTTAGATTCGAATAGATAGTTTCGTAGTAACACATATCTCTTCATGAAACTTATGAAATTGAAAAAATTTGTCCATAACCTTTTCACAATTAATTTCACAACCTGATTTGTTTTTATTACTCAGAAGTAGAATTTTTCTCTCGCGTTGACATTGTTATGATAAATTATCCACTATTTTTTTTCATACTTGTAATTTTTATTTTTCTATTTTAGGTTTATGCATGGAAAATATCAGATGAAATGCTGCAACAAAAACGAGATTTGGAATCCTGTTATTTCGCAGCTCAAACCATGCGTACGAAAATTCAATTATCTTTTCACGAACTACCCACTGAATCACACTCCTCCCTGCGTGATTCGTTACTGGATCACATATCGCAGATTAACGAACATACAAATAGCATTATCGTGACACAATTGTGTGTTGCACTGGCTGATTTAGCATTAAAAATGCCTTCTTGGCATAAGCCAATAGTGGATGTAATGAATAGATTCGGTAGCAATGCCAGTAGTCTCTGGCCATTACTAGAAATCATGACTGTACTTCCAGAAGAAGCTATCTCTAGAACTAACAGGTAAGCCACATTGTTATATACCACATTGCTAGAGTACATCTGTCAAGGATTTTCCAAATTATTGTCTTATTTTACACCGTAGATTGGGGGCTAATCGAAGGCACAATGTTTTTGTCGATTTATCATCTTGTGCTGATACAGTCACTGAATTTTTGGTAAGTGAATTGTAAAACCAAAACAAATGAATAAATAAACGCTGCGTTATTTCAATGATAAGCGATCATTTTTTTCCAATTTTCTATCAATTTTGGACATGGACATCCGCATGAAAAATGCCCTTATTGTCAATACTGATTTATTTAAAAACTCCGTTGTAAAACAACATAATTACACTTGTAGAAGGCGTGTCTCCAAAACGGCGGTGATAATATACAAATCCACATAAGAATACTAAGATGTTTAACCAGTTGGGTGAAAGTCCACGCCATATCTCTAGAAACAATACCAAACGGCGAAGTAACAACTTATGCTTTCGAGGTAATGATAAACATACCTTGAGCGCTTTACTCCTATTAAGACCAATATTTTTCCTGTCAGGTACTGCGAAACCACATATCAAGTTCTCAGCTGCATGAGGCAGCGACCGATTGCGTCTGCGTGATCCTCCAAATTCTCGAAGAAGATTACGAACGAACCAGTAGTGACCATAACGAACATCTGCAACAGCTTCAACTTGGACTCTTCACTAGTGTGATGTCTCTGGAACAGCCGTATCACCTGTCAGTGGCCCACGAAGAGATGGAAAAGTCCTTAAATTACTGTCGAATTTTCACCGAATTAGCGGAAACTTTCCTCGATCGAATGGTCCTAGGTAGTATGGATGGAACTCAGCATTACGCTATCAGAATACTCAATTTAGTTCTCATGTGTGTTGGGCATCATGATTACGAAGTGGCCCAGATAACATTCAACCTGTGGTACCGATTATCTGAGGTTTTATATCGAAAAAACAGTGATCACCTGAACACAATGTTCAGACCATACATAGAGAGGCTGATAGGTGCCCTCTGTAAACACTGTCAGATGGAGCCAGATCATCTGGGCCTAGTTGAAGAAGGCAGCGGAGGCGAGGACTTTGCTGATTTTCGCTCACGTGTCTCTGAGCTCATAAAAGACGTTGTATTCCTAGTTGGGAGCAGCCACTGTTTTCGCCAAATGTTCTCCACCCTAACCAGTAACAATGGCCAGGAGCAATCGAGGCCCCCCACCTGGGACTCTACAGAGGCAGCATTATACATAATGCAAGCTGTCGCCAAGAATATTCTCCCTGAGGAGAACGATGTAGTTCCAAAAGTGGTAGAAGCCATCCTCAATGTTCCAGAGAACACTCATATTGCAGTCAAACACACTAGCATTCTCCTTCTTGGTGAGCTCTGCGAATGGATCAACAGTCATCCTCAGTCCTTAGAACCAGTGCTTAACTTTCTTCTCACGTGTTTGAATCAGAGGGGACTGGCCAGTGCGGCATCCAGCGCACTCCACAGCATTTGCACAGCCTGTCCCCTGAATATGGCATCACACTTCCCAGGATTACTTCAAATAGCAAGATCGATCGATAGCTTTCCGATCAGCAATGAAGCAGCGATAGGACTGTTAAAAGGAGTGTCAGTAATTTCAGCTAGATTACCTAGAGATGAAATAGGTCCTGCTATGAAGGAACTCTGTTGGATTCAAGTTCGACCACTTTGTGAATTAATGGAGACTGAGGGGATTCCATTGGACCGAGGCACTAAAACCGATCCTGTCTACTGGCTAGATAGACTAGCTGCCATTTTCAGGAATACTAATCCACAGGTTGATAATTCCCACGAGGCACATCCTTGCCAGAATGTTGTCACTGAAATGTGGCCTATTCTCTCGAACGTATGTAATAGATATAAAGAGGACTTGAGAATAATGGAGAGGTGCTGCAGATGCCTGAGGTACGCTGTAAGATGCATTGGGCAGCATGCGGTTCATCTACTGGAGCCTATTGTGGAGCAGATTGTGCAGTTATACGCGGTGCATCAGCACAGTTGCTTTTTGTATCTTAGTTCTATTCTTGTTGATGAATACGCCGGAGATCATGACTGTGCTGCTGGGCTTGTAAGAATGCTGGAAGCCTTTATTGGACCCACCTTCACCGTTTTGCAGCAGAATGATGGACTTAAGAACCATCCTGACACTGTTGACGATCTTTTCAGATTGTGTGCCAGGTTTCTCCAGAGGGCACCCATCGCATTCCTCCATTCAGCTGCATTGAGCAGTATTATGGATTGTGCTATTATGGCATGCAGTTTAGATCATAGAGACGCCAATGCCTCTGTCATGAAGTTCTTCTATGATTTTCTGCACAGTGGAAGGAATCACGATGAGAGATCAGATTTTACCATCAGGAGACAAATGGTACAAGAGGTTTTGAGGGAGAAGGGACAGCGGCTGGTGACTAGTCTTCTTCATGCAGCTGTTTTTCAATTGTCAACATATATGCTTCAGGATGTAGCGGATGTTCTTGCTGAATTTACTTTGACCGATTCGACATCAATGGCTACTTGGCTCTTTGAAGCAATTTCAGCAATGCCTGTGCAAAATGTTGGAGGTTCGCCCACAGCCACTCCAGAACAGGTGGCCGAATTCCATAATGCAGTTTTAACACCGAAAGTATCCCCCAAAGTTGTAATGCATGCACTACGAACTTTCGCACGATTATTTCGCTGATGTGACATGTAAAGATGAAAACGTGTGTGATTGTGAGGAACAGTTAATGTGAAGAAGGTCCATTAATGTTATCGAAGAAATTAATTAATCCTTCCTACCATCCTTCTCGCAAGTGCAATTTTCCTGATTCAAGTAGATTCAAGTTTGATCGACTAGATCTGCTTTTCCAATTTTTTTAATCACCGACAGAATTCTTACCTATTCATTAGGTATAATTTATCGAGTTATTTCCAATCCCCTTTCATTTCCCTCTTTTTTTTATACAACTTTGCCTTTTTATGGCAGAATGAATGGAATCTTCATTTGGTGGCATTGATGGACATTATATGAATCGATGACTATGAGACGAAATATTTTATGAGAATCGAGATCAAAGTGAGACTGTCGTTGTATTATAATGAATATAGAAAGCACATAATGAGTTTTTCTTTCTGTAAATTAATCATGAAAATCTGATGAAGTTTGAGGGATGTCTGTGGTAAATATTATTACAGATACTTTCTTGACAGTACATTTGATCACTTGTGCTTTTCACGATAACTTATGTTGTAACTATACATCCCGAATTCGTAATACATGCAATTCATCTAATAAATTTGTTACATTATTACCAGTACATGAGGCATTTATTCATCGATTGATGACATATTTTCTTAATCTAAAATTATAAAGAAAAAGTGAAATCTAGGCACGAGTCATCGTTAGATAATTTATTTGGGATTCAAAATTTGACAATATTCCTTTCAGGCAACAACTGGGGTTCCTTTACCTTGAGTCATCAGTGACTCATCTCAAAGCACACTAAGAAAGTCTCCGTATCGAAGGAGCGAATGAAGAAATAAATGGAAAGGAAATCGCTTAACTAAGAACTGGAAGAATTTCATTGTGCATTAAATTTTTTTTATATTTCTCATCGGTGAGCCTGTAAATTTTATCACTGTATAAATTATTATTCTCTCGATTCATTTGCGACTAAATCACGCATCTGATCAGCTTTATATATATATATATATTTTTTTTTTTTTTTCGTGCCTCCAGTTTTATCGTCCACAGAGTATAACAAAAAATTAAGAGAAACGGCAATACTAATTTTTCAAATAATTGAATAATAACAGATTGAAATGTATGGTAACTATCCAACTTGACGGAGCAGGTACACTAACGACATATTCGTGGGCGATCTTCGTCTTTCTTCACGATTAGTGCATACGTTCAAAAGGTATGCGGTTAATAATTGAAAACTCGAAGAAAAACCAAACCAACAAAAAAAAATCAAGCTGCATTGCAAGGAGCTGTGCGATGCAATTTTTTTGCAAATTCGTGGAACTCCTCAGCTAATGAATCATAAAAAAAACCATGAAACAAATGGAATGACCTGAAATTCCTAGCAATGAAGGATAATTCAGAATTTTTTATATTTTTCCTCATTTTTCCTCATTTTTTCCGTTGAGAAATTCGCTTATACCCATTGGTGGTGAATTTCACCCTATCGTCGACGGTGGCCAGTGGCCCGTTGCCGAGCAACGAGACAACCAGACTGTCGTCTGCCAATTCGTTCAAGTATCGTAGGTGTATGGCTAAGATTGAGACACTGTAAATATTCCCTATTATCCTCTTCAACCATATAAATCGATAATTTTTTTCAATTAACGTCATTTTAAAGAACTTCAAAATAAAGATAATCATCCAAACCTGAGAATCTTACCCCAATACCCATAACGACATTTATTTCGAACCCTTGGTTATAATTGCAAAAAAAAAAAAAAAAAAATACATAATTACTATTAAATAGGTCTCCTCGTGCCATAAATGGCGAATTACTAATTACAAAAATCTCAGATATTTTTGGATATTTTTTTTTGTCTCCTTCTGTAGAATGAGTGTTATCTTATTCCAATGTAATGATCACTTGTGGTTACAAATGGGCCAGAAATGGTGAGTAAGGCGGATTGGGATGAGACTCGGTCAGTTATTCCACACCACGCCCATTGTTGAGTCATTATGCAGCACCGCATTGCACACACACCCACCACTGCATTGCCCACTTGTCAAACCTTCTCCTTACCCATCCGTTCATACTTCTTGCGCAATTGCCGGAAGGGAAGCAGTAATTTTTTCGTGAAATATTCACTTTTATCCCCGGTATATACGTTATAGTTACCCCGAAAATTTTCCTCCCTGACATTTTCCACCTTGAAGCGAATAAAGACCAGGGCAATTTTTTGTGACAACTATTGTGTGACAGACTATTGATATAATCTCATGTCAACTATGAGATGATTAAGATCTAAGAGAAGACACTGATTCTTTGGTTCATTTAGGTTTTTTTTTGTATTTTTTGATAATTCCATCTGATCGTCAATCAATGGGCTAATTCCTAAATAGTTCATTTATCTAATTATGTTTGTTTAAACAATTTTGAATGGGTACCGGTTTTTTTTCGTAAATTCCCCTATATTTTGATAGTGATAGTTCAATTGAGAAGGGTGAATAGTCGTACGAGGACGTCCCTGCAGGCAGTAAAGTACCACGCCCTTTCGTGTGCCCTCCATACCTCTATCTACCGTGGTATATACGTTATTGGCACCCGTTGATGGTCGATGGTGAAATTCGCGACGAATTTCCCCTCTTCTGCCCTCCTAATTTTCCTTACCTAACGTTTACACTATTTTACGGTACATAGTTCTTGGAGGGTTGAGAGCCGTAGGTTCACGGCCCTTCGAGACTGCAGCCTCATAGATGAAATGAAAATTGAGTCTGAAAAAGGGGGAATTGTAGTGTTAAAATATCCACTAGTTGTACTCCATAAAGTTTACTAATTTTGGCCTTTTAAATTATCAAATTTATCTGTCAAATTCACGGCGCAAAATTGAAGAAATAACATTATGTGAAAAAACGATATTTGTCATATTTTTTGGCTATATATGAGTAATTGAAATAGTCACAGCTAACAAACATGATTCTTCAGTATGACTTAAACTTTGATAACCTTCTGATTTCCGTGATGAGCTGGTAAACAAAAAGCTGGTTTGTGAAAAAATGTGCTCAAAGCTCGAAAAACATGAAACAATGATGGAATATATAATTAATTTTGAGTTTAGCTCAATTTCAATAGGAATATCATGCAGCTGTTGTTAAATTCCCAATTAGGCAATAACTAATTAGAGGAAGGTGAATGGGGATGAGGGTTATTCGGTTGTTTCGTAGCGTGTGTGGGAGGGGAGGGGGGAGGGTGATATATAAAAAGCAGGAGAAGAAGACACGGAACAGGAGGGCAGTTCGCCCAGCAGCCCACAATCCCCTATTCCTTTGGCAGGCCTGGGTGAAGGACCCGTGATGCTTTCTATCCTTTCTATCCCTTCGCTCTTCTTGTCTCTCCTATCGTCTTGGTAGTGGTAAACCCTTCCTCTTCGCCCCGTCCTGTCTGGCTGTCTTCTCCACAATCACCCCCGAGTCCCACCACCATCCTAACCGTTAGCTTCCTTTTTACATCTACTCGCGCGACAAAGACAACTTCAACTTTTTTATCTTTTTCTTCATAATATTCTTGCTATTCTCTGATGCACCTCACCTATCAACCAACCCCTCCAACTCTGATTTCTCAGGAGCGAGACACCTGCAGGTCACATTTTTGTTTCAAATTTTATCAACAAGTCTACAAGAAGACAAATAATTTTGAACATTGGAAGAATGTCGAATGGTGCGACACACTGAATTATTCAATTAGATTTTCTAATTGTACTGTACAATTGAATTGAGTTTCGAACACCAATCGTTTATCCCAACTCCAAACACATTGAAATTGTAAAAAAATCGACATTTCCCCCAATCAAAAAATACCGTTAAAATTGCTCCAATTTTCATTCTATTATTGATCATTGGGAACAGTGGCGTGCCCTGGTATGGTAAGAAAAGAGTGAAATCTTGAGTATCTCTTAGCTGACGTCATCTCAAAAATGATGGATGATGCAGTGACCAAATTCCATAACATTTGATTTTCAATTGGATAATTGTGTCGAAAATAATTGGTCCACATAATAACGTCTGATGCTTTCTACCGCCGAAAAAACTCTCGGCACATTAGGGTTCCAGTCGATCGCGTCTGGACAGAAAATCCATTAAAAAAAATAAACTAAAAAGAAAAAAGAAAAGAAATGAGCAATACTTGAGCACTGAAAAATGTGAATTGGTGAGCGGAGAGAAGGGTGTCGAAAGCGTGTTGAAATGGGATTAGCATAGAGATAAAAAGGAAAATCAAATGAGTAAATCAAAGGAAAGAGATGAGCGCCACGATGTGAATTACCGGTACTATAACGCCGGCCGGTGGGGCTTTTGCTCTCTCTCTTTCTGCTAAAATTCACTGAGAGACAGAGATAAACAATGCGAGTTAGCGTGTTCGTGCAGGTCCGTTTAAAATCGTCGGTTAGGAGCCGATGTACTCCGAGAGTACACATACATACGATTGAGCGAAAATTTCCCCTTCCTCCAGAATTGCCCTCTTCCCCACCCGACGTAAAACGACGACAGGCTTCTACTGGCGCAACGCTAAGGCCGATCGGCCAGTTCGTCGCCGGCCTTTCTTCAAACAACTCGTTTCAATATTTTTTGCCACTCCAAGTTTTCGTCTCTCTGCACCTCAAATTATCGTACATCCGCAAAATTGTCCAATTGAATCGACATCTAACCGCGAGAACTTTCCCCCACACCTTTCCAACGTTCAATTTTTACGTAATATTTTTCCCATAACTCCCAGTTCTTAAGGCAGTCGAGAGTGCTGGAAAATTGCAAAAATCTATTAATTTTTTTTATGTTGAGGGACTTGCCGAGACACCGGGAGGAACAAACAATATTATAATTTTTACTCTAAAAAATCAGCACGAGTGATTTCGGTGACGTGTTGATTCGCCATTTTTAATCCTCTTTCTCTGCAAATAGGTATGTATCCCTCTTGTCTCGTGTAAATTTATGTAATTGATTCTTTAAAGCTCCGGTGCCTTAATTCGACATGCGCAAATATTCAAACCGAATCATAATCTCGGCACAATATCCGGTTAAAAAGGAATGGAGATTTTCCTGAAACGATAAAACTATATCCCTACGATTTATCAATGGAAAAGAGAACAGAAAAAAAAAAAACGCGAGGTGAACCGAGTTAGTTTTCTAATCAATGGATGAACGGCTATTTCTCGTTGAGAGTCATCGAACAATTGGGTAAGAGATTAACAATGTTTTACTATTCATAAAGAATGCAGGATTGTTAACATTGGATTGCTGATGAGGAGTGAATGATAAGACATTACCGTATGCTTTGTGGAATTCATCTTACTTGCTCGATTAACTCGTTAAAATTGGCCTAGTGAGAATCCCCCACCCCGAAAAAAAAATAAAGAGTTCGGGATAAAAAGAAAAATGTGTTAAAGTGCCTTGACATTACCAGTTTCTCGGCTGGAATTATTGTTGTATCGGATTTGCTCGGGCTATTATCATTGTGCTCTCGAAATATTAGCTTTTCTTTATACGATGAACCTCAAGAATTAACTGGAGACATCGATTTGAGTAATAAAGGTTCTCCCCCGATTTAACTGAGACACAAAAGAAATAAAGACAGTG